CTTCCTTTCCTTCCTTTCCTTCCTTTCCTTCCTTTCCTTCCTTTCCTTCCTTTCCTTCCTTTCCTTCCTTCTTTCTTCTTTTCTTTCTTTCTTAGCTCCCACTTATGAGTGAGGATGTGCGGTATTTCTCTTTCTGTGCCTGGCTTATTTCACTTAACATAATTTTCTCTGAGCTCATCCATGTTGCTGCAAATGGCAGAATTTTATTCTTTTCTATGGCTGAGTCGTATTTCATTGTGTATACATACCACATTTTCCTTTTCCAGTCTTCTGCTGATGAACATTTAGGTTGGTTCCATATTTGACAGTTGTAAATAGAGCTGTGATGAATATGGGAGTGCAGGTATCCCTTCGACAAGATGATTTCCATTCCTTTGGGTGTATACCCAGAAGTGGGATTGTTGGGTCATATGGTAGTTCTCTCTGTAGTTGTTTGAGATACACTCATACTGTTTTCCATAATGGCTATACTAATTTACAGTCCCACCAACAATGTAGAAGAGTTCCCTTTTCTCCACATGCTCGCCAGCATTTGTTATTCTCAGTCTTTTTGATAATAGCCAGTCTAGCTGGAGTGAAGTGATACCTTAATGTAGTTTTGATTTGCATTTCTCCAATGACTAGTGATGCTGAGCATTTTTCATGTACCTTGTTACACGTAAAGTTAAATATAATGAGTTATTAAGTGTAGTGAGGGATTGTCTTGCTATTCCGAAGACTAACTTTGAAGAAGATAGGAAAGGTAGTTATAAGGAGTATGGGACTGAGATAGTGTTCCTTAGGAAGAGGTCCCCCTCATTCCCAAGGATTGAAATTCAGACCTTGCTGGAGAAGGCACATCTTTGACTTACTGAATGGCAGAGAAGACACTGTGGTGCCATGCTTGCCAAACTTTCTGGAAATATGCTCTTTGGAACTTTCTGGAGATCTGTTCCCTGAGGTGATAGGGAAAGATGTTCACGGGACAGTGTCTCTCTTCTACATTACTGCTGTGAAACAACCTGAGGAAGGTTCTAGGGGAAGGCACTGGCTGTTGGGTGCTGTTGGCTGTCAAGTACTGCATGTGCCACTTACTGGAGAAAAGCTGCACTGTGCAGGGTTTTGCTGAGTGAGCACACCAGAACCAGGACATAAAACCTTTCTTCCTGCAGTGTCTCTTCTGTGTTCTGTATTTACTTCAATTCTGTTTGGCAAAGGAAAAGCATTTAAAGGGCTCAGATCCACTTTCACAAAGCAGACAGGTGAATTTGGAGCTGAGTGAGGAAGCAAATCAATAATAGGTCCCAATACTGTGAAGGAGATAAGAATGATGGATGCTCAAATTTAGTTTTGGTGGTGGTGTCAGGGAAGATCTCTTTGAAAAATTGACATTAAGACCAGGTGTATGTGTAGGATCTACCCAGCTGAAAAGTATAAGAAAGAGCCTTGAAGGCAGTGGTCAACTGTGAATGGTCTAACTTGGAAAAGAATTTCATGAATTTGGAAGTTACAGAAAGCTGAATTGGTTGTAATGTAGTGAGAGAGGGAGAGAGTGGAATGGTGTTAAAGAGGCACAGTCAATTATGTAGAACCATGAAAGTCAAATTAAGCAGTTAGGATTTTGTTCTAAGTGCAGCAGGAAATAGGGGAGAGACACAGTAGACTTACATTTAAAATAAACTTCTGACTTCCCCCTTCTGTTAAAGAACAGTCTAGAAAGATCACTGTGTTCTGGCACTAAGAAAAGCTTCATTGAAAGTAAAAGCTTAAGGTGGGACTTCCAGGAAGTACAGGACTTAGATTTGTAGAGGCAGGAATACATGAGATACATGTTGGTTGAGGAATCCTTAGAGTGGAGATGCAAGTGAAGATAGAAAAATGCTTAACGGATAGACTCTGGGAAATCTTGATTGCCAGATATTCTTTCTGGGTGCCTCTTGTGATTCACCTAACAAGCAAACTTTAGTGAAACTGTGTCATCTGTGTGTGAATCCAAGTCATTTGGGGAAAAAATGAACAACCGTGTTTTGAGTCAGTTCTGCTCTTAAGTTCTAAGCTTATCGGAGGATCAGAATTTTGTGATGGTCTGTCAGTCATCCCTCTGTCACACCCCACCTCCACTCTCACTTTAAGAGATTTCACGTGAATCTACTTCTCACAGGCTATTGAAGATCTCAAGGTCTTTTCTTCTTCTACTAGAGTATTTGCTTGGGCCATCCTGGGCAAGGCCTTTGGAATCCTAGTCCAAATTTAGGCTGTTTGTTTCCATTATCAGAGAAACACATGAGGAGGTCTTCAAAAAGTTCGTGGAAAGATATGTATTATCTTTTAATTCCACGTTCCATGAATGTTGTAAGTACTCTCATATATATTTAAAACAGAAGATATTTTAATTATTTTTAATTCAGTTTTTTTCCCTCCAGCTTATATATCAAGCCACTAGTGGCACCTGTCAGCGTTACTTTTCATTGTCTTTGTATATTTTATCTATTCACAATTTTAATTTGTTGTAAGTACATTTGAAATTGACTTATTCTGCAATTTGAACATGTATTCTTTAATAATAAATCCTTAATTTTAAGGTTATCAAAATATATTCATTTTCCTACATTGAAGCCTTTTTTACTTTAATCCTTCATAAAAGTGTATTAATACTGAGTCAGAAAACATGGAAATGATTTTTGGGGGGGGATTTGGCTTTTGGAGAAGAAGGGACTGGATAGTGATGAAATATGGGTCAGGGTAATTCCAAACAAATATCCTGAACTGTTAAAATATCATTGAACTTTCTGGTTAAGTTCTTTTATAAAATCATAGGACTTTTAGGGAAAATTTTTTTTTTAGTTTAATGACTGCTCTTGTGACTGTTCTTAACCTAGACATTTTGCTATTCTGAGCAAAATGTTTACTTAAAGTATACATGGTCTTGACTGCATTTTGAGGGTAAACACATTAAATGAACTATATCGCTTTAAGTTTTTTTTCAGTCTGCCTGTTCAGAATCTTACATATCAGGTAGTTTTAGTTATTTTTAGTTTCTCATTATAATTTACATTTAGCCCTCATGATAGTTCTTGTGTAATTTTTTGTTTCTGTTTTTCTGAAGTATCTTTCTTTTTGAATATCAGATCTTCTCAAACTTTATAAATAAAAACATCTTTTATTTGCTCGGACTGATTTAACTAGGGGGTTCCCTTCTCATGGGGTCATTAATAATTTGTTTAAATTTAAAAGCCGATGCTGGACTTAGGAACATGAAATAGATTGATTTGGTATACCAATCACATGCAAGTGAATGAATTAAATTTATTATAATCAAAAACCTCAAATTAATGAAATACCTAAAGAATGGGAACCATAGTTTGTTGTCTTTTCTGGTTTACGTATAACTTTATTAAATTATTAAAGATGATGTAATAACCCAGGTTTTGTTATTGTCTCAGAGTAATATTAAATTCGGTATCATTGTTCAGTATGGTAGATGTATCTGTATTAAGTGTAAAAATTGGGAAGAATCTGTATACATTCTAATAGTAGTTATGAATGAATGTTCATACTGCTTAATTTTTGTTTGTTTTTGTTTGTATCTTTCTCCCTAATTTTTCCCAAATAGAGTTTATGGGTTAAACACATTTTTTTTTACAGAAACACTCCACTATTATACTGAATTATATTTAATCAGAAATGTACACATTGACTAACAAATATTTTAAATTTATATTAGAAATATTTTGCCAAGGTCATTTGAAAATTAATACTAATTTCATATGTTAAGATTTTGTTACAATTTGTATGTTTCAGGATTCCCTATTTCTTCAGTAATTTGTGAAAATTATTCATTATGATCATTTAAATTTTCTACAGGTCTACTGTATATTATTGAAACACAGAAAGTTCTTGACCTCAAAATTAATTTGAAGGCTTCATATGTTATTGTCCCACAAAATGGAATTTTTAGCTCTACATCAAATCTACTTCTTTTGGATCTTGGTCATCTAAAGGTATATACTAATATTTGGTTTAGGGTATGGCATTTAGGATGTTTCTTTGTTTAAAATGTGTTTTGTTTTTTAGACTGATTTGGTTTACTTTTAGATTTATGGTTAGATACTAGGATTTGACAAATCTTCCTTTCTGGTGAATAAAGTGAAGTTTCATTTAATTGGGTAGTTTTCCTACTTTTCTAAAAGCAAAATGACCAATTCAACTCCAGGTCAGAGGTGAACCTAGGAATTATATTTATAGAATTTGAGAATTACGCTTCAGAAGTTCATTTCCTTTTCAGTTTAAATCTATTACTTGATTAATTAAAGTATATAGAGTAGGAAGGCGTTCAGAAAGTAATCAGATATATCCAGCCTTCTGAAATTTTTCTTGTATATAACTGTTGATGTTGACACTTTAATATTTCTAGTAAATAATTCTAAATTGAGAGATGGTCTTCTTGTAAGTCATTTTCCTTTTCTTCTAATTATGCACTTTTTTTCTATCCAAATTTTCAATAAAGATTTTTTTTTTTGTATTTCTAGATCTGTACTGTTCAATATGGTACCCACTAACCACATGTGGTTGTTTAATTAATTATAATTAAATAGAATTAATTCAGTTTCTTAGTCACATTAGCTGTATTTAAGAGTTTTAATTTTCAGAAGTGGCTAGTGGCTACTGTATTGGATAGCACAGATGTAGAACATTTCCATCATTGTAAAAGATCTCTTGGACAGAACTGCTCTGTCATTAAATGTAGAGGCATACCTATAATAATTTAAAGACTCAAGATGTATGATATTCTTTTAGAATGCTTTTTCTGGCTACCTAACAAATATGTGCCTTCCCTTGAAATTGACATTCTGCCTTATTTATTTAGTTTTTACTCTGCATTTGATAAATAGGTAGACATCCACTGGGTTTATGTTTATAGTAAAATTTATGCAGCTAATTATTAATATTTGAATTTGGTTATTGAATTGTTTCAAGGACAGTGTGATATAGTAGAAAGAGCATAAGGTCAGGAATAAAGGTATTTATCTAATTTTATAGCTTTAGGCAACCTGCTTAACCTGTTGCCTAAAATTTGGTACCTTTCAAACAGGTAATTTTTTGACCGCTTCACATGAGCTATATAAAGTATAGGGAAAAATGTTAAAAAATATACATGTACATCCATATGTATGAATGAATAATGTCTTTATATACTGCTCTGGAGTGATCTGCAGGATGCTTAAATGAAAAAAGTAGTGTGCATAGTATGACAAGAAAAGGGAGATAGAAATATAATTTGCCTGGGGTCGCATAAGTAGCAGATTTGGGGCTAAAATTTATCTGTCCTAATATTTAATCCTGTATCTTTTACTCTAAATACCTGTCATTGTGCCATAGAAACATTTTGTAAGCTAAAATTGTCTCTTGATCTTATTCTTAATAAGAAAGCTTCTTATCAGATTTTAAGAATTTGTAGATGAATTATTCTCCTGGATTGTCTTGGTTTCCTTCTTTTAATATAATTAAATGGGAACTATGTAAAAATTTGCTTTCCATCTGGCCTTTTCTTTATATGTCTCATGGATAAGGACCTTTCTAATAGCCTTAAAATGTATGTTTGCTTCTGAGTTGGTACTGTCCTATTAAATTTTCATATTATAGGTCTGAAAGATAAAAACTGTACTCACTTTGAAGTACATTACATAATCTAAACTATTAAAATTAACTTCAAGGTGACAAGTAAAAGTCGTTCGGAATTAACAGATGTGAAACAAGGTGGGACCAATCTTGAAGAAATAATGCATAGAGCTTATGATTCCTTTGATATACAGCTTACAAGTGTACAGCTGCTTTATAGCAAAGTTGGTAAGTATAAAGTACGTTATTTGTTGATTGGTTTTGCTGAAGCGATTGAGTAGATTTTTAGGCACTTTGAAGATCTTCCTCCTAAATGTTTTAGAACCTTTATGTTTCTGAATTAGAAGTGATAGTAAATATTGCCTACTTATTCTCAACCAAGAGCAGTTTGCCCCCCAGGAGACATTTGTCAATGTCCGGAGATGTTTTTGATTGTCACATGTAGGGGACGGGAGGGGGCACTACTACTATTTGGTGGGTGGAGGTTAGGGATGCTACTAAACATCCTACAGTATACAAGCCAGCCCCCATAATAAAGACTTATCTAGCCTAAATGTCAGTAGTGCTGAGATTGAGAAATCCTGATCTATACCAGTGTTTTCCAACCTTTTGCCAACTGGCGAATATTGAAAATGATACTTGTATTACACAGTTAGATAAACAGAAGAGGCTGGTCAAGGCCAGAGGCAGCCAGGATAGGGGCTCTGACAGCCCAGGCCATAGATAGTCACACAAAGACTGAGTAGGGTCACTGTCCACTATGCCTAAAGGCATACCTTTATCCCATTCACTGTGGTGTACCAATCAGGAGTCTGTGATATAGATTTATTTTTTTTAGATGAAGACAGAGCCAGAAATTCACTTATCAGGAGCCACTAAAGTTGTTAGGGAGAGATCCCAGAGTCGTTCAGCCCCCTGTCATACTGTTTCTAAATCCCTAGTGTGTTANCAGAAGATATTTTAATTATTTTTAATTCAGTTTTTTTCCCTCCAGCTTATATATCAAGCCACTAGTGGCACCTGTCAGCGTTACTTTTCATTGTCTTTGTATATTTTATCTATTCACAATTTTAATTTGTTGACAGAAGATATTTTAATTATTTTTAATTCAGTTTTTTTCCCTCCAGCTTATATATCAAGCCAGTCATCTAGTGGCACCTGTCAGCGTTACTTTTCTTTGTCTTTGTATATTTTATCTATTCACAATTTTAATTTGTTGTAAGTACATTTGAAATTGACTTATTCTGCAATTTGAACATGTATTCTTTAATAATAAATCCTTAATTTTAAGGTTATCAAAATATATTCATTTTCCTACATTGAAGCCTTTTTTACTTTAATCCTTCATAAAAGTGTATTAATACTGAGTCAGAAAACATGGAAATGATTTTTGGGGGGGGATTTGGCTTTTGGAGAAGAAGGGACTGGATAGTGATGAAATATGGGTCAGGGTAATTCCAAACAAATATCCTGAACTGTTAAAATATCATTGAACTTTCTGGTTAAGTTCTTTTATAAAATCATAGGACTTTTAGGGAAAATTTTTTTTTTAGTTTAATGACTGCTCTTGTGACTGTTCTTAACCTAGACATTTTGCTATTCTGAGCAAAATGTTTACTTAAAGTATACATGGTCTTGACTGCATTTTGAGGGTAAACACATTAAATGAACTATATCGCTTTAAGTTTTTTTTCAGTCTGCCTGTTCAGAATCTTACATATCAGGTAGTTTTAGTTATTTTTAGTTTCTCATTATAATTTACATTTAGCCCTCATGATAGTTCTTGTGTAATTTTTTGTTTCTGTTTTTCTGAAGTATCTTTCTTTTTGAATATCAGATCTTCTCAAACTTTATAAATAAAAACATCTTTTATTTGCTCGGACTGATTTAACTAGGGGGTTCCCTTCTCATGGGGTCATTAATAATTTGTTTAAATTTAAAAGCCGATGCTGGACTTAGGAACATGAAATAGATTGATTTGGTATACCAATCACATGCAAGTGAATGAATTAAATTTATTATAATCAAAAACCTCAAATTAATGAAATACCTAAAGAATGGGAACCATAGTTTGTTGTCTTTTCTGGTTTACGTATAACTTTATTAAATTATTAAAGATGATGTAATAACCCAGGTTTTGTTATTGTCTCAGAGTAATATTAAATTCGGTATCATTGTTCAGTATGGTAGATGTATCTGTATTAAGTGTAAAAATTGGGAAGAATCTGTATACATTCTAATAGTAGTTATGAATGAATGTTCATACTGCTTAATTTTTGTTTGTTTTTGTTTGTATCTTTCTCCCTAATTTTTCCCAAATAGAGTTTATGGGTTAAACACATTTTTTTTTACAGAAACACTCCACTATTATACTGAATTATATTTAATCAGAAATGTACACATTGACTAACAAATATTTTAAATTTATATTAGAAATATTTTGCCAAGGTCATTTGAAAATTAATACTAATTTCATATGTTAAGATTTTGTTACAATTTGTATGTTTCAGGATTCCCTATTTCTTCAGTAATTTGTGAAAATTATTCATTATGATCATTTAAATTTTCTACAGGTCTACTGTATATTATTGAAACACAGAAAGTTCTTGACCTCAAAATTAATTTGAAGGCTTCATATGTTATTGTCCCACAAAATGGAATTTTTAGCTCTACATCAAATCTACTTCTTTTGGATCTTGGTCATCTAAAGGTATATACTAATATTTGGTTTAGGGTATGGCATTTAGGATGTTTCTTTGTTTAAAATGTGTTTTGTTTTTTAGACTGATTTGGTTTACTTTTAGATTTATGGTTAGATACTAGGATTTGACAAATCTTCCTTTCTGGTGAATAAAGTGAAGTTTCATTTAATTGGGTAGTTTTCCTACTTTTCTAAAAGCAAAATGACCAATTCAACTCCAGGTCAGAGGTGAACCTAGGAATTATATTTATAGAATTTGAGAATTACGCTTCAGAAGTTCATTTCCTTTTCAGTTTAAATCTATTACTTGATTAATTAAAGTATATAGAGTAGGAAGGCGTTCAGAAAGTAATCAGATATATCCAGCCTTCTGAAATTTTTCTTGTATATAACTGTTGATGTTGACACTTTAATATTTCTAGTAAATAATTCTAAATTGAGAGATGGTCTTCTTGTAAGTCATTTTCCTTTTCTTCTAATTATGCACTTTTTTTCTATCCAAATTTTCAATAAAGATTTTTTTTTTTGTATTTCTAGATCTGTACTGTTCAATATGGTACCCACTAACCACATGTGGTTGTTTAATTAATTATAATTAAATAGAATTAATTCAGTTTCTTAGTCACATTAGCTGTATTTAAGAGTTTTAATTTTCAGAAGTGGCTAGTGGCTACTGTATTGGATAGCACAGATGTAGAACATTTCCATCATTGTAAAAGATCTCTTGGACAGAACTGCTCTGTCATTAAATGTAGAGGCATACCTATAATAATTTAAAGACTCAAGATGTATGATATTCTTTTAGAATGCTTTTTCTGGCTACCTAACAAATATGTGCCTTCCCTTGAAATTGACATTCTGCCTTATTTATTTAGTTTTTACTCTGCATTTGATAAATAGGTAGACATCCACTGGGTTTATGTTTATAGTAAAATTTATGCAGCTAATTATTAATATTTGAATTTGGTTATTGAATTGTTTCAAGGACAGTGTGATATAGTAGAAAGAGCATAAGGTCAGGAATAAAGGTATTTATCTAATTTTATAGCTTTAGGCAACCTGCTTAACCTGTTGCCTAAAATTTGGTACCTTTCAAACAGGTAATTTTTTGACCGCTTCACATGAGCTATATAAAGTATAGGGAAAAATGTTAAAAAATATACATGTACATCCATATGTATGAATGAATAATGTCTTTATATACTGCTCTGGAGTGATCTGCAGGATGCTTAAATGAAAAAAGTAGTGTGCATAGTATGACAAGAAAAGGGAGATAGAAATATAATTTGCCTGGGGTCGCATAAGTAGCAGATTTGGGGCTAAAATTTATCTGTCCTAATATTTAATCCTGTATCTTTTACTCTAAATACCTGTCATTGTGCCATAGAAACATTTTGTAAGCTAAAATTGTCTCTTGATCTTATTCTTAATAAGAAAGCTTCTTATCAGATTTTAAGAATTTGTAGATGAATTATTCTCCTGGATTGTCTTGGTTTCCTTCTTTTAATATAATTAAATGGGAACTATGTAAAAATTTGCTTTCCATCTGGCCTTTTCTTTATATGTCTCATGGATAAGGACCTTTCTAATAGCCTTAAAATGTATGTTTGCTTCTGAGTTGGTACTGTCCTATTAAATTTTCATATTATAGGTCTGAAAGATAAAAACTGTACTCACTTTGAAGTACATTACATAATCTAAACTATTAAAATTAACTTCAAGGTGACAAGTAAAAGTCGTTCGGAATTAACAGATGTGAAACAAGGTGGGACCAATCTTGAAGAAATAATGCATAGAGCTTATGATTCCTTTGATATACAGCTTACAAGTGTACAGCTGCTTTATAGCAAAGTTGGTAAGTATAAAGTACGTTATTTGTTGATTGGTTTTGCTGAAGCGATTGAGTAGATTTTTAGGCACTTTGAAGATCTTCCTCCTAAATGTTTTAGAACCTTTATGTTTCTGAATTAGAAGTGATAGTAAATATTGCCTACTTATTCTCAACCAAGAGCAGTTTGCCCCCCAGGAGACATTTGTCAATGTCCGGAGATGTTTTTGATTGTCACATGTAGGGGACGGGAGGGGGCACTACTAGTATTTGGTGGGTGGAGGTTAGGGATGCTACTAAACATCCTACAGTGTTTGTCAATGTCCGGAGATGTTTTTGATTGTCACATGTAGGGGACGGGAGGGGGCACTACTACTATTTGGTGGGTGGAGGTTAGGGATGCTACTAAACATCCTACAGTATACAAGCCAGCCCCCATAATAAAGACTTATCTAGCCTAAATGTCAGTAGTGCTGAGATTGAGAAATCCTGATCTATACCAGTGTTTTCCAACCTTTTGCCAACTGGCGAATATTGAAAATGATACTTGTATTACACAGTTAGATAAACAGAAGAGGCTGGTCAAGGCCAGAGGCAGCCAGGATAGGGGCTCTGACAGCCCAGGCCATAGATAGTCACACAAAGACTGAGTAGGGTCACTGTCCACTATGCCTAAAGGCATACCTTTATCCCATTCACTGTGGTGTACCAATCAGGAGTCTGTGATATAGATTTATTTTTTTTAGATGAAGACAGAGCCAGAAATTCACTTATCAGGAGCCACTAAAGTTGTTAGGGAGAGATCCCAGAGTCGTTCAGCCCCCTGTCATACTGTTTCTAAATCCCTAGTGTGTTAGTGAACATTCAGACAGTTCAGAAGTTTGAGATTTATTTAAGAGATCTTGTATATGTAGGGAGAGATCCCAGAGTCGTTCAGCCCCCTGTCATACTGTTTCTAAATCCCTAGTGTGTTAATGAACATTCAGACAGTTCAGAAGTTTGAGATTTATTTAAGAGATCTTGTATATGAATGTATATGGTCAAATTTTAATTATCTGAGCTAACTTATAAAAGGAGAAATAAGAATCCAAGGTAATAGTTACAAAAATTGTTAGTTTATACAGGATTAGAACATTATTTTATTTTATTTCTTTAATTATATTTGCTTTAGGAAAATGAACATGGTTTCTGTTTTTATCATATTCCAGTTGTTGTGGTGGGAGCCCAGGAGTATACCGGGTGGCAAAAGTAAATTGTTTTTAGAAGTCATAAATTCTTTTTCAGGGAATAAATTATTGTATGTTCGAATGGATACATATTGGTCACAAGTTTTTGAAGTCTGTGAATTATACTTAAATTAGTATTTAAGATATTGAGGGCCGAGCCCGTGGTACACTTGGGAGAGTGCAGCGCTGGGAGCGCAGCAGCGCTTTCGCCGTGGGTTCGGATCCTATATAGAGATGGCTGGTGCGCTCACTGGCTGAGTGCGGTGCGGCTGATCTCACAAAAAGACAAAAAAAAAAGATATTGAGATGCTTTGTAAAAAAACGTTTTAAATATTTCATTATTGTCTGAAGGTTAGTAAAATTGTTTTTGATAAACATTAACTGTTCTTAAATAATTGAATCTTTATTGAGCATGGTACTTTTTGACATTGTGGTTACTTTATATAATTGTAGAATCTCTTGATAAGTACTGAAACAAATGCTTCTTTTTTTTTCTTTAAAATGGAAAGTAAAGGAAATATTGATCTCAATGCTAGTGGAATTTTAGAAATTGTTAATAAAGTTCATTTTTACTACCTATCTCCAAGAGTCTAATGTTTTCTTGGCTTTGTTTTCCTTGACTGGAATATTATTCAACTCATAAGATTATTAGGTTCAAATGAGGTAGTCTATATGAAAATGTATTATACTATATAAATCCCATGAATCCTGTTATAAAGATTAATCTTTTTAAAGTTATTTCTTTGTAAATATGCCTATTTTAGAAAATTTGGACAATTCAGAAAAACAAAAAAGATCATTCTTTATCTTAATGCACAGACATGAACACTATTGATATTTCATTGTATATCCTTTTAGTTTTTTTTTTTTTTTCCAGTGTATTGTGCCTATGTATATGGGATGTGCTTGTGTGGTATTTATGTCTGGGGGTATTTGTGAATGCATTGTTTTTACATGATTTATATAGTTTTATATTCAGATTTTTTCTTTCATTTCCTAGTAATATTTGGGCACTTGAACTTATGATTTTATTGGATATACGAGTATTGTGCTCTAAGGCTAGGTTGTCACTTATTCAGACATTCTCTTATTGAACATTTAGGCTTGTAACACTGTGGTGAAATGTTTCCAGGGGGTCACATGTTATAGATTTGGATGTGAATTTCAGCTTTCTCATTAGCGTATTAACCATAGGCAAATTATAAATTTTTTTGACTCTGTTTTCTAAAATGGGATGATTAATACATCACTGTGTGAGTAAAAACTTAAACTTTGCCTAGAAAGTGCCAGTTATAAACCTTGAATAAACGGTAGCTTTTATTATACTATTAAAGAACCACACTTTTTCTTTCCTTTCCCATTATTGCCCTTACAGCCATATTGGTTTTTGGGTCAGATAATTTGGTTGGTACAGTGATTATGAATGATTACACAGTAGTTTTGATTAAAACGTTTTTTTTTTTTTTTTTTTTTTGGAGTCTTGTGAAGAAGCAGAAGGAAGATGATAAAGGGAAAAGATTTTCCCTGCTGGTTGTGTGTACCTGAGAATGTGACATTAAGATTATGTAAAATGTGGGAAGATTTCCCAATACCATGCAGTGTGTGACTGTGAAGTATTAGTAGTAATTTTAGGTTTTGTGCATTATTCAAATTATACTTATGTTAAACATGAAATGTTTTCTGTAATTAGGTGATAATTGGAAAGAAGCACGAAAACTCAATGTATCTACACAGCATATTTTGGTACCCATGCACTTCAATGTGGAACTCTCTAAGGCCATGGTTTTCATGGATTTAAGAATGCCCAAGTATGTATTATCTGTTTCATGTGACTGTGAATATTCTCAGTAATTCCATAGCTAAGGAAATGCCATATTTCACTGAGTGTGTTTTTAAAATTTTTCAAATCTGCCTTGATCTTGTATTCATTGACTTTTGTGGTAAAATATATATAACATAAAATTTACCATTTTAACTATTTTTAAGTTTATAGTCAGTGGCATTAAGTACATTCACATTGCTGTGCAACCACCACCGTCCATCCATCTCCAGAACTTTTTCATTTTTCAAACTGAAACTCTGTACCGATTAAACAGTAAAGCCCCATTTCATCCTGCCCCCAAGCCCCTGGCAGCCACCATTTTATGTTCAGTCCCCATGAATTTGACTATTTTAGGTACCTCATATAAATGGAATCATATAAATTTGTCCTTTTGTTTCTGAGTTACTTCACTTAGCATAATGTCTTCAAAGCTCATACATGTTGTAGCATGTGTCAGAATTTGATTCATTTTTAAGGCTGAATAATATTCCCCATATGTAACATATAACCACATTTTGTTTATCCTTTCATCCATTAGTGGACATTTGTGGTGTTTATACCATTTGACTGTTGTAATAATGCTACAAGTACATGTTCAAGTTCCTTCTTTCAATTTTTTTCAGTATATACCTGGAAGTAGAATTGCTGGATCATATTGCAGTTCAGTGTTTAGGTTTTTGAGGAGTGCCATGTTGTTTTTCATAGCAGCTGCATCATTTTACATCTCTGCCAGCAATGCTCAAGGGTTCCAGTTTCTGCACTTCCTCGCCGCACTTGTTCTTTTCTGATTTTTTTTATTTTTTATAATAGTCATCCTAATAGATGTGAAGTAGTATCTCACTGTAGTTTTGATTTGCATTTCCCTAATGCTTAGTGTTGTTGAACAGCTGTTCAAATGATTATTGGCCATTTATACATTCTTTGGAGAAATATGTATTCCAGATCATTGCTTATTTTTTAGTCTGGTGGTTTATTTTTTTCTTGTTGAATTGTAGCAATTCTTTATATATTCTGGATATTAACCCTTTGTCAGATATATAATTTGCAAATATTTTCTCTCATTCTGTGGGTTGCCTTATCACTCATTTATTTATTTATTTATTTATTTATTTATCTATATATTTATTTATTGGTCATATTTTCTTTTCTTTTAAAAGCAAATATTTTCTCTCATTCTGTGGGTTGCCTTATCACTCATTTATTTATTTATTTATTTATCTATATATTTATTTATTGGTCATATTTTCTTTTCTTTTAAAATTTTTTTATTTTACTTCTCAATATACAATGTAGTTGATTTTCATGCCCCTTTACCCATTGCTCACTCCCCCTCTACCGCCCCCCACATCATATCTGTTCACTTGACTTAAATAGTTCAAGGAATTTTTGTGGTTATTCTGTTTTCTCCCCACCCCCTCCGATCTGTTGGTGTGTTTATTTATTTATTTATTTATTTTTAGCTCCCACAAATAAGTAAGAACACGTGGTATTTCTCTTTCTCTGCCTGACTTGTTTCACTTAATGTAATTTTCTCTAAGTCCATCCCTGTTGTTGCAAATGGTAATAGTATTTCATTCTGTTTTATAGCAGAGTAGTATTCCATTATGTAGATACACCACATTTTCCTTATCCACTTATCAGATAGTGGACATTTGGGCTGGTTCCAACTCTTGGCTATTGTAAATAGAGCTGCAGTAAACATTGGAGAACAGGTATCCCTTCAGCATGATGATTTCCATTCCTCTGGGTATATTCCCAACAGTGGAATAGCTGGGTCATATGGTAGATCTATCTGCAGTTGTTTGGGGTACCTCCATGCCATTTTCCATAAAGGCTGCACCATTTTGTAGCCCCACCAACAGTGTATGAGAGTTCCTTTTTCTTCGTAACTTCTCCAGCACTAATCATTCTCAGTCTTTTGGATATTAGCAAACCTAACTGGAGTGAGATGGTATCTCAAAGTGGTCTTGATTTGCATTTCCCAGAAGCTGAGTGAGGTTGAGCATTTTTTTCATGTGTCTGTTGGCTGTTTGTATATCTTCCTTTGAGAAATGCCTATTCAGCTCCTTTGCCCATTTTTTAATTGCATTGTTTGATTTTTTGCTGTAAAGTTGTTTGAGTTCCTTGTATATTCTGGATATTAATCTTTTGTCAGATGTATACTTTGCAAATATTTTCTCCCACTCTGTTGGTTGTCTTTTTACTCTGTTGATTGTTTCTTTTGCTGTGCAGAAGCTTTTTAGTTTGATATAATTCCATTTGTTTATTTTTCCTATAGTTGACTGTGCTTTTTGGGTACTACTCATGAAGTCTGTACCCATTCCTACTTCCTGGAGCATTTTTTTATTGGGTTGCTTGTTTTTTTCTTGTAAAGTTGTTTAAGTTCCTTGTATATTCTGGATATTAATCTTTTGTCAGATGTATACTTTGCAAATATTTTCTCCCACTCTGTTGGTTGTCTTTTTACTCTGTTGATTGTTTCTTTTGCTGTGCAGAAGCTTTTTAGTTTGATATAATTCCATTTGTTTATTTTTCCTATAGTTGACTGTGCTTTTTGGGTACTACTCATGAAGTCTGTACCCATTCCTACTTCCTGGAGTATTTCCCCTATGTTTTCATTAAGGAGTTTTATTGTTTCAAGGTGTATATTTAATTCTTTAATCCATTTTGAGTTGATTTTGCTATATGGTGAGAGGTATGGGTCTAGTTTAATCCTCCTACATATGAGTATCCAATTTTTCCAGCACCATTTGTTGAAAAGGCAGTCTCTTCCCCAGTATGTAGATTTGCTGCGTTTGTCAAATATCAGATGGCTGCAGGCGTATGGATTGATTTCTGGGTTCTCTATTCTATTCCATTGATCCGTGTGTCTATTTTTATGCCAGTACCATGCTGTCTTGGGTATTATAGCTTTGTAATATAGTTTAAAGTCAGGTAGTGTTATGCCTCCAGCTTTATTTATTTTGCTCAGGATTGCTTTGGCTAGGCATGGTCTTTGTTGTTCCATATAAATGTCTGGATAGCTTTTTCCATCTCAGAGAAAAATGTCATTGGAATTTTGATGAAGATTGCATTGAATTTGTAGATCACTTTGGGTAGTATGGACGTTTTCACAATGTTAATTCTTCCATTCCAAGAATATGGACTATCTTTCCATCTTCTTCTGTCCTCTTTAATTTCTCTCAACAGTGGTTTGTAGTTCTCTTCGTAGAGATTTTTCACATCTTTGGTCAGCTTTATTCCTAAGTATTTTATTTTTTTCTTGGCTTTTGTAAATGGGCTAGCTTTCTTGATTTCTTTTTCTGCATGTTCACTGTTGGAGTATAGAAATGCTATTTTAATTATGTTGAGATACTTTCCATCCATGCCTTTATCATGAAAGAATGTTGAATTTTGTCAAATGCTTTTTCAGCATCTATAGAGATGATCATATGGTTTTTGTCTTTGTTTTTACTGATGTGATGTATCACATTTATTGATTTGCATATGTTGAACCAACCTTGCATCCCGGGGATGAATCCCACTTGATCATGATGTATAATTTTGTGTATGTGTTGCTGTATTCTGTTAGCTAGTATTTTATTGAGGATTTTTGCATCTATATTCATCAAGGATATTGGCCTGTAGTTTTCTATTTCTGGTGCGTCTTTGTCTGGTTTTTGTATTAGGGTGATGTTTGCCTCAGGATGAGTTCAGGAGAATGGCCTCTGTTTCAATCTTCTGGAATAGTTTGTAGAGAATTGGTATCAGTTCCTCTTTGAAGAATTGGTAGAACTCTGCAGTGAGCCCATCTGGTCCTGGGCTTTTCTTTGTTGGGGGCCTTCTGATAACAGCTTCAGTCTCTTTTATTGTTATTGGTCTGCTCAGATTTTCTATATCTTCTTGCCTCAGTTTTAGTAGCTTGTATGCATCCAGAAATTTATTGATCTCCTCCACATTTTCAAATTTGTTGGAATATAGTTGTTTATAGCAGTCTATAATGATTCCTTGTATTTCTGAGGTGTCAGTTGTAATACCACCTTTTTCATTTCTAATTTTTGTTATTTGGGTCTTCTCTCTTCTTAGTTAATCTTGCTAAAGGTTTGTCGATTTTATTTATCTTTTCAAAAAACCAACTTTTTGTTGCATTGATCTTTTACATTGTTTTTTGGGTTTCTGTTTCATCAAGTTCTGCTCTGATTTTAATTCTTTCTTTCCGTTTACTAACTTTATGTTTGGATTGTTCTTGTTTTTCTAGATCTTCAAGGCGAAGTGTTAGGTTGTTTATTTGCCATCTTTCCATTCTTCTGAATTAAGTATTTAATGCAATAAATTTCTCCCTTAATACTGCTTTTGCAGTATCCCACAGGTTTTTGTATGATGTATCATTATTTTCATTAGTTTCAAGAAGTTTTTTTATTTCCTGTTTCGTTTCTTCCTGGACCCATATGTCATTAAGTACAGTGTTGTTTAGTTTCCATGTGTTTGTGTAGTTTCCAGAATTTCGTTTATTATTGATTTCTAATTTTAATCCATTGTGATCTTAGGAAGTACGTGGAATAATTCCAGTTTTATTGAATTTGCTAAGACTTGCTTTGTGACCTAATATGGTCTTTCCTGGAGAGTGTTCCATGTGCTGATGAGAAGAATGAATATTCTGATGTTGTTGGTTAGAATGTTCTGTAGATATCTGCCAAATCCAATTGGTCTAAAGTATTGTTTAGATCTTGTGATTCTCTGTTGATTTTTTGCCTAGATGATCTGTCCAATGAAGAGAGTGGGGCGTTCATGTCCCCCACTATTATGGTGTTAGTGTCTGTCTCTTTCTTTTGATCTAATAGTGTTTGCTGTGTAAATCTGACTCCTCCAATATAGGGTGCATATGAATTTATGATTGTTATGTCTTCTTGATGGATAGATCCTTTTATAGTTATATAGTGGCCTTCTTTATCTCTTTTTATGGTTTTTGCTTTAAAGTCTATTTTATCTGATATAAAAATAGCTACT